CTGGAGTTAAAAAACACACATTTCTTTTTTTATTCATTTTTTTTTTTTTTTTTTTTTTTTTTTTTTTTTTACAAAATAATAATAATAATAATAAAAAAACTAAATTAAATTCAGTTTGCCTTCTGTAAAAGTGGAGGTATTCAGACTGGTGATCATGTTATTATTGGACTACTTGGAGCATGCATGGGAGAGAAGGAAGAAAAGAGGAAAAAATAGAGACGGAAAAGCGACGGAGAAGGAAAAGCGCATGGATGGCAAGGAGGGGGGGGCAGATTTTTGTGGAGGGTGTCTCACTGCGACTTGTCAGCTGTCATCATTCTCGTGCACCACCTGAGACGGGGGTATGCCACACCCCGGCGCTCACGCCTGGGTTGCCCGTGGCAACCGCAGACGGAGGGTTTTCCACGCGCACGCCCGTGCGCGTGGGAGAAAGAGCGAAGGCGTGCCTTTGTGCTGCGTTAGGCTCCAGAGGTAATGAGGTGCGCACACATGCACATGAGCCTGGCTACGGAGCTGTAGAGTTGTGGTTGCCTCAGCATTTAATTGATTAATTGTTGTAATTATTTGGAAAGGAAGGTCACTTCAACACTGAGGCTATCTGGAAGGTCACTCTGACGCTGGAGGGACTCTCATCCTCTGGGGACCACGTAGGCCATATGGGTGTGTTTGTGTGAGGAGGAGATTTCAGATCCGTTTTAAGACATGCCTTCTACCTGCGCATGCACGAGTGAGGCGGGGAGCTGATGGCTGCCTCTTTAGGTGGCCGCAATGAACAAATTCAACAATGCTACGTGTGTAGCTTTCACTGTGACCCAAAAATCCACTTCTTTTCATCTTTCTTTTCACATCTTTATATGTCTGTGGCTCATCTTTTCTGCCAAACAACCTGGCAGCCAAATATTGTGCAGTGACTGGCTCAGTGAGTGTATGTGTGTGTGTGTTTTAGCATTTAGCACCTTGTAAGGACCATTTTTCCCTAACAAATACTACTTTGTGAGAACGCACTTTACCTTATGGGGCCCAAAGCTTTGCCCCCATAAGAAGAAGAGCTGTTTTAGGGTTAGTGGGTTAGGTTTAGGACTAAGGTATGAATTGAGTTTAGGTAAACGTTAGGGTAAGGCATGTACTGGTAATGGTTAAGATCAGGGTAAGGGCTGGGGAAGTAAATAAAAAAATGAATGGAAGTCAATGTAAAGTCCTTGTGAAGATAGAAAAATAGCCTCTGTGTGTGTGTGTGTGTGTGTGTGTGTGTGTGTGTGTGTGTGTGTGTGTGTGTGTGTGTGTGTGTGTAGTTTTGGGACTTTCCAGTCCATGGACAGATGGAGAGACTGGGAGACTAGCTTGCTGGCATGAGCTGCACACAAGCTGGAGTGGATGGGAGTCTGCTTGTTGTCTGTGTGAGTTCAAAGGGGCGTGAATATAAATGTGTAAATCTGTGGTATGTACACCTACATGCATTATATTAACCATGCGTGTGTTTGGGATTTTTGACTGTGCGTTTGTGAAGATGTGCAATAATGCCTTCAATCAGCACGTTCATCACTTCCCTCCAGCTCTGACCTTGGCAGGGAGCGCAGACGGGTCACTGAGCCAAATGTTTGTGTGGTTGTGGGTCTGTCCTCTAAAGAACTTAATTCACAGGCATTTCAGGACACTTGAACAGATATTGGACCAAGATAGCCGTTTTGACAAGAGCTTAAAATTTCTTTATGGGTTGGGGGAAAAAAACAAACAAACAAAAAAAACAAAAGGTGAGATCATTTCTTTTCATTTTTTTCCTAAATATGTTTCAAATAGAAGATGTAATGTTTATAAAAATCTACCTCCTTCTTTTTTGTGGAAGATACCAGCTGAATTGTTGCATGAAATCAAACACATTGAGCTTTTCCCAGCTTGTCACCTTTCATACAGGTCAGGGGTAAAGTTATAGAAAGGTTCACATGTTCAGGTTATTGAAAATATCTAAAGCTTTTTTTTTTTTTTTAAAGTCTCTCACAGTACTGTTGAACTGTATCTGATAATACAAACTGGACGGTACCAAGACGTTGGAGTCCAACTAAACCGACTTAGAGTTTGTGACCGTGGGAAGAAAAAAAACACACACAAAATTTTCAAGATTCATCCAGATTGCTGGTGCTTTATCCATAAAACGTTTCATGAAAATTTGAAAGTGAAGTGAGCTTTTTGTAGCGCCTGCTTTAACTTGTCTGCCCGTTACGGTCAGATTGGACAAATTAGATAAAAAACTGTGAACTCCGGAAAAAGCATTGCAGATCTGTTTTCTTTATTATGTTAAAACTCTGTGTAGCGACACAAAATATCGGATTTTTATTAGGCATAAATCACCCCCTGTTTGTCTCCTGTTGAGGCAGGAAATGTGACTAAATTATGACGAATGATGCGTTTCATGTTAGAAAAACCGGCCTAAATGGTAAATTTAAGAGATGCTGGGTAAACACGGTGTCCAACCCATTTGCGACTGAAACCTCAGCTCTAAAGTGGGGGTTGAATGTTTACAGTCCAAGCTTTTAGGGCCTCTTCATGTCAATCATAATGAGATTACCAAGCCAAACACGGGTGTTACCGAGCTTGCTGTGGAGAACCACACCTAACTTTGGATGATAACCCACCGGCGTGCCCAGAATGACAATGTACGGCTTTAATTTTACTTCCAAAGTTTATGTTTTATTACCCAACGAGATGGATGCTTAGACTTTTCTTCACATTGTTGGAGAGCAATAAAGATAGAGGGATCTAGGAACCATCATAGAAGACAGCTCTTTTATCTTTTTTTTTTTCCTGGTGAACTATTTCTGTGTAGATTTAATCAAATATTTTGTGTCGTCGTCATCCCCCGGTGATGACCCACTTTCAGTTTTCTGGCAGAGGCCAGCTTATTCTCACTCAAAGTCTCTTGGCGTTTCAGAAACTTTTGATGCTGCACGCCCAACCGAGGCGAAACAAGATAAGCGCACACCTGAGCTAAACCCAGAACTGTACGGGATGTTGCTGATGCTCGTCTCTGGCTCTGTGAGAGGCAGGGTACGCCCCTTGACAGGTCGCTACCTCGGACAGAAAAAGTTTTTTTTTTTTTTCCTGGCATGACTCCCAAACGTGTTGTTGGCATGTTTATGATGCCCATTTGCTGTTGTGGAGTCAAAGTAACTGCAAGACTTTATTTGCTGAAGTTAGGTGAGCTTTGCGAGATTTTTGTATGATCCCTCTGATTTTCTATGATGAGTGCATTCACCTAGATTTACCTTATCTACAGGTGGAGTCAAATTAAAGGGTTTTTTTTTGTCAAGATTATTTCCGTTTAAATAAAAACAAGTATTAAACATATTTTTAATCAAGTCATCTTCTCTGTATTAAAAAGTTGTAATTTTTATTTGATATAAGATTCTAATGTTAAAAGCAGAAAATCATCATTATTGACACAAACAAATGCTTGAAAACTTCTGCCTGTGAGTAATTAACCTATTTCCCTTTGTGAAATGAGATTGTAAAACAAAAAATTAGCTTTTCAACTTGCTGGATTTGTCTGCAAGAAAAATGTCAGATCATTTACTTCACTTGCTTGCAGCTTGCCTGAGCCTCACCTGCTTTAACGTGGATGCTGGGGCTTCGGATCTTGCCCGCCTGATTCTCGGCGGTACAGAAGTACTCGTTGTCGTGGATGATGCTGTTGTAGGCAGAGGGGGAGAAAGGGTAGAGCTGGAGGGTGCCGTTGGCATGCACGTGGCGTATGTGGGGCACGTCGTAAATGTCGTCTCCGGCAGCCAGGTACCAGCGCAGGACGGCATGGGGGGCGCCGCCCGCGGGGCAGGGCAGGGACACCCCCACCGAGCTGGAGAAGGTCACTCGCTGCAGGGAGGCGTTCACAAAGTACAGCCGAGTAGAGACAACATCCTCACTGTTGGCTGTTGGGGTGACAGAGACGGGGAGAACCTGTTAGAGGCGACTTCACGTACCAAACAAGTACGAAACAAGACAACCACAGCTCATGTTCTTTTTAAAACTGCAAATAAACCTGCAGGATGCAAAACTGGGTAATTTAGACTATCTGCAAACGAGGAAAGATAATCATTCTAGTTCATTCTAACAGAGCATTTAACTCCTCAGGACTTTGAATTCTTTGTGGAGCTTCCACCTGAACAACATTTCACAATTGACTCAATCCGGTTTCACAACTCTAAAGAAAAAGCTCAACAACCTTGGAGTCTGCTGACAAGAGATGCCTAGGAGAATTCAGTAAAACAGTAAGTGGCTTTATTCTTGTTATAATAGCAAGTAAAGTCGTGAAATAAAAGTCCACAAACTGTAAAAAAAGAAAAAAAAAGAAGAAGACAAAGAAATAAAGTAGAGAACAAAAGCAAATTGGTTGCAAATTAAGAAATACAACTTTTAGTCAAGGCAATGTGAGGCAGCCTCTTACATTTGAAGTTCAAAGACATAGTCTAAGGCTAAATGAGTAAAAATAAGAAAAAAATTCTAACTAGAGCTGCACAATACCTGTGGAGTCAAACTTGTAACGAGTATGATTCCAATGATGATGGAGGAAGAATCTAATTGCAACTAATGAAATCGCAGCAAATGTTGCAAAAAAAAAAAAGAAGTGCTTTGATGAAAACTGAATTGTTTTAAATATGTAAATTATAACATATTTGTAGTTAGTGTATAATTTATTGTAAAATAGGGGAAATCAGAATATGCTTTCTACCTCCACCTACTTGTTTATGGACCCTTGTTTTGTTTTCCTTCCTTGGTTTTTGACTAAATTTATTTGAATGTGAAATAAAAATAATTTACACAAAAGTTTATGTCTTTTTTGCATTTCATGTCTTCCTAACGTAAACTTGACATTTTTTGATTTGTGCAATCAAAACTACTGGAAAATCATCTGTACTTTTCTCTCCATCTCACAGATATGTTTCAATTGCCTTCTTGTTTATTTGTTTAAAACATACAAAGACGTTCTCTTTATCTTTTAGAATTATGTTGACGTTTAATAATGTGTGAGAAAATGTTTTGTTTATTCAGCCAGTTTTCAATACAGCTGGCACAGAAAAATGTTAAAATATAACGATCTGCTTCTTTTTTAAAAAATAAATAAAATAAAATTAGCATATTATTTAAAAAAATGGCATTTCTACTTACAGAAAGACAAGAGAAAACTCTGGTTTTTAAGAAAATGTCCGCTTATGAATATATCGTCAGTCAATGAGATCAATCAGTTTTAACTTAACTTCTTAATCGATAACTTGCATCCCTACATTATGCAAACCACTGTGTACACAGCTCTGTAAAAAATAGAGCCCACTGCACAGAATTTCATTGAAAACCTCATGATTATTCCACCAAATATTGATTTCTGAACTCTTTGAGTTAAAACATTAGCATTGTTGTTTCTAAACTAATATAAACTAGTTTTCTTTGCATTATTTGAGGTCTGAAAGAATTGCATCTTTTTCGTGATTTTGATCATTTTCTGCAAATAAATACTACTTGGGATTTCAGAGACATGTTGTGAGTAGTTCATAGAATAATAATAATAAAAAAAAACAAGGTTCACATCACTCATATACCCATAAAGAGTAAAATCAGACAACAGCTCATTTTGCCAGCCGTCTCTTAATTTTTCCAGAGCTGTATGTTCATCAATTTCACATTAACCCAAACAACTTCCTCCATGTTCCAAACTACTGCAAATTGCTGCAAATTGTCCAATTCCATATGCATTATCCAACCATCAGTAACGTAATAAGCTGCACCCACCCAACTCTGGGCAGGACAAAAATATGTCACAATTTCAACCTTTTTTTTTTTTTCTGATCATGTGAAGTTGTTGCTTGTGGTTCTCCAGGCCTCAGCTGCAGGAGGAGCCCTCTGTCTGAGCTGAGGAACTGGAAACCACACATGGCTCACTGTAAAACAATGCTGCCGTGGCACAGTTTGAGCACGGCTAGCAGATACGCTTTCATAACATCCTTCCCCTCTCAAAACACTCTTATTCAAACTAAAGTGGGGTATTAAGACATCCATGAAGATCTCTGTTTCTGTGTATGTTTAGCTGGGACTAGGGAGGGGCAGGGGGGGGGGGAACTGAGACTCACGAGGAAGTGCTGAGCTCAGCTTGGCTGCAGGCCAGGGGGAGATGTGATGCCCCAAGCCAGAGAATTTTTATCTCAGACATTGATACTTAATTAATTTTTTTTTCTCTCTCCCCTGGATTGTATCAACAATGCCTGGATTTATTCAATCCAATCTTTTCAATTTTCTACATCCTCAGAGAATAAAGGGGCTCGTTCATCAATCGAGGTTTAAAGACGGCGTTGAATTGCTCTTAATCTTGAATTTTTTACTGATCGTCTCTGTCATTGTTAATAGTAGTTGACAACTACAAGATAACAGAAAGAGGCCATGAATTTAGGTTCTCTTTGGATTAGAGAACAAAACGAAAAAGTGAGTGATAGTGCTGTTGTTAGCCGTTGTTAAATGTTCTGCCTGTTCCCTTAATTTTCCAATCAGAATCATTTGGAGAAAATCAAGCAATACAAAATATAAACGTAAACATTTTAGATGGAAAAAGAAAAAAAAAAAAATCCACCGATACAGTTTTTGTTTTGTACGACACAGCTGGACCAGAAATAATACGTTTTCTACTACAATATATAGACCCATCTATGCAGCTTTGTATAAAGGGATATCTTTTGGCTTTAATATTTCCTGTTCCATACACTGGAGCACTCCATCAACTTAGTTTCTCTTTGCTTTGTTTTTTATCATATCATATAAATATGTTATTTCAGAAGTTAAAACTGACCACAGGAAGGAGGAAGACCGTGTCACCGACATCGTCTTTTAGTGGTTTCCTCCTTGTTTGCTCACGTTAGCGTCCCTCATTAGAGCGTTGCTCAGCAGCACATTGTGGCGCTCTCCATGGTGCTGAAAGTGCAGATCGGTTTCCCCTCACAGCCTTTGAAAATGATTGACGCCGAATCAAACAGCACCGACGGATTGAACTTGACCTAAATTCCTATTTTTGAAGAGAGTAGCTGCTACAACGTTGTCTCACTATCTGCTCGTCATCTTTACTGTGCTCGTGCACGCATACATCCACAGGCCCATCCGCGTGCATCCGAGCAGCGATTGCATCTCTCTATTTTTTCCCTCTCTCTCTCTCTTTTTCTCTTTGTACTCCCCTGCCTTTGCTGTTGGCTGAGTTTGACATCAAAACTGAGCCAGTGATTTAACAATAACCTCTCTATCCCTTTGACATCACCTCACACAGAAAGAAACATACACACATTCACTCTCTCAGTTGCTTCTGAGCACCTTTGTACCTGAGAGCCTCCTGCTCTCCTCTCCCCTCCCGACCAACCACCCATATCCTGTCAGGAATAATGCACTCCTGATCTCTACGTCAGCTGTAGAACAACACACACACACGAAAACCAGGAAAGTCGGACATTGGTTTCCTACAGCGGTGTGATTACAACGTGGATGAGTTAAACAGGAAATATTACGTGGATTTAACACTTTACCTCTGGCCATCAAATCACACACCGTCGCCTGTCAGGAAAATACAAGAGGTGCTCTGTGTGATAAATACAAATTTGGATGTTTCTGATGTAAAGCATGAACTCATATTGGACAATTTAAAGATTTGGTAAGCCTTGTATCCTATAGTTAAGCTAAAAGATAAACAAAAACAACGCCTTCTGGAAAGTTCTGGTTTTGTTGTACTTTTTTTTTTTTTAAATGAACAACCCAAACACAAAAAGTCAAACAAGACTCAAACAAGAGACACCATCCCTGCAGTGAAACACATCAGGCACAGCATCATACTTTGGGATTGCTTTTTTTCTATTTTTCCTCTTGGAACAGCTAATAACTTTTTTCTGCTTGAAGTCTGAAGATGAAGGGAGGATTTTGGGGATGCGAGAGCCCCTATAGTCACACCCCAGAACTAAATTTTAAGACGTTTCCCTTCGAGTTTAAACACTTGAATTAAGCTTAGACTGCCTCGCCAGCATGCAGACACAGCTCTATAGAGCTATGCTAAACGGCTAACATTGGAGCCAGGTGTGCTGCAGCAGAGACGCGTCTAAAAGTTGCAGGACGCCAGCCGCTGGATTGCAGCGAAGAAGATTGAACCCGTTCTTTTTGAAACACGAAGAAGGATACATTCTGTGAGGCGAACCATTAACCATTATGCATTTCTTGTTTTGGTGCAATTTATTTATTTATTTTTATTTTTTTACTAAATCATGTCTTAGCAATGCACCCCAACACATTCACACTTCTCCACTTGTTTTTGCTGTGGATATGAAAATGGAGTATGAATATGTATGCTGTAGAGGCAAGGATATTGCCTATGGTGAACCTCTATGCATAATGCAGCTTTTTGTGTCTCATCTAGATTCATTCAGGAACACACACACACACACACACACACACACACACACACACACACACACACGGAGACTGGAATTCACACAATAACAATCATGTGGATAGAAAAACAGGGCAATAAATCCCTCACTTTGCCTTTCCAACTCTTCTTTTTCCTTCAGTCCCAAAGTCACAGAAAGACAGTTCAATTCATAGGAATGCATCTGGAAGTAGATTTTGGACGTGCTAAACTTTGCAGCTGCGTTTCTACTTAGAAGTTTACATACTCTAATCATTTGCATTAATGTCATACAAATAGTTAAACAAATGTGGACTGCACAGCTTTAGCTTTCGGTTTATTGGGGCAGATATTGAGCCTATGCAACATGCAAGGACGTTAGTGAGGAGAAAACAGAGCACTATAAAAGTTTTGGTCTTTGCCATCATAGTACATCAGCGCAAGATTACAAAGGACAATGCAAATGGATGAATTTCTCCCTCCATCCATTGTCTACACCTGCTTAGT